CCCTCTAACAAAGAATCTCACTCTGAAAAACCGTGCTAGGGTGCTTGGGCCCTACCAGAGACTGGGTATCTGACCAATGAGCACCAGTGACCATTTGACCTGAGCTGCCCATCATAAGCTGAATACTTTCTAAAGTTGGACCCCCGGCTCAGCACCTGTGGCTCAAGTGGCTAAGGCGCCAACCACATACACCTAAAGTAGCGGGTTCAAATCCAGCCCAGGCCCATCAAACAACAATGATGGCTGCAACCAAAAAATATCCAGGTGTTGTGGCAGGCACCTGTGGTCCCAGCTACTTGGGAGGCAGAGGCAGGAGACTCACTTGAGCCCAGGAGTTGGAGGTTGCTGTGAGCTTTGATGCCACGGCACTCTACCCAGGGGGGCAGCTTAAGGCTCTGTCTCAAAATAAATGAATAAATAAAAATAAAAGAGGAAAAAAAAGTTGGACACCCAAAGAATAATCCATATGTGATGAAAGCAATACATCTGGACCAGGTTTGAGCTGGTCCAGAACACATAAGTAAATTGCATGAGCAGGTGGTGCCCCAAACTCCCGAGTCACCTGCCCCTAATGTCCTGATACTGCTTCTTCAGTCCACAATGATAACCTCATGGCAGGGGTGGGGATGGTCCATGTAAACAACCATTAGATGTATCAGAATAACATGCTGGCACTAGCAACAGAGTGGGCCCACTCAGGGTGTCCCTGAATGATAGTGGGAAAAAGGAGATCCTACCAGGGAGCAAAGCTGCAAGAAAGTATTTGGTGATCCACAGTCTATGGCAAGTGATAGTACAGAATGAGAACATACACAAGTGGTAAGAGTATGTGCTAAGTAATAAGTAATAAGAATGTATACTCTATATAGCAAGTGATGGCTCAGAATGAGAACATACACGAGTAAGAAGAGAATACACTAAGTAATAAGAATGTCCATTCTGTACAGCGAGTGATGGCTCAGAATGAGAACACACACGAGTAAGAAGAGAATACACTAAGTAATAAGAATGT